GCAACAATTATTGAGAAAAAACACCAAAATTTTGAAAGAGATATGGAGGGTTTGGATGGAGGAAAGAGAGGAGGGAAATGATGTAATTATTTTAATTAAAAAAAATTTAGGCCCATGAACTGTAGACTAGTGGCTGTGAAGCCCCCAGGGGACTGGACTGGGCCCTCTGGATACGGAAGACGGTTGCTTGGCTCGAACTGTTTGGGGAACACCCAGGCAGGGGGATCGGGATTCATCCCTGGTGCATGTGTTTCATAGTTTACCTGTGTCCGGTGCCTGTGGTGTGGCGCCTTGCGCAGCCTTGGTGCAATGGGAGGGAGCTTGGACCTGCCTAGGCTCAGTATGCCGGCCTCTGCTGACTCCCCATGGGAGACCTTGATTTGGGGGATGTGGGGATGTGGGGTGGCTTGGGAGGGAGGACTGGGAGATGGGAGGAGGGAGGAGGTGGGATCTGTGGGTGGCATGTAGAGTGAGTAGAAAATTTCTTAATAAAGAAATTTTAAAAAAAGACAAAAAAATTTAAAAATATAAAGCTAAAGTAATATTTTAATTTTTCAAACTGTTGAAAAGTGCTTCTTGAATGTAACAAAACTCTATCAGTTAACGTCTTGATACCAAGGCATTTGAGAATGACCATGAAAAAGAAATATTAGAAAACGGTTTCAAAAACTGTTCGAAGATCACCTCAGGTCAAATTGGGCTTTTCTTTTCGAACTTTCCAACCGTTCTGTTAGTATTAATCAAGTGCCTTTGGCTACTAGAGGTGTAGGGATGAAGTCATGCCCTGGGGTCATACACAGCGATCATAGAGCACCATAGCCTTTACCCTGAGGAGTCCATTAGCTCCCAGCCGTCTGCTGTAGCCCTAATAGATCCTTGGAATGCTCCTAGCTTGGAGACTTGAGAGAACTGAATTGAGACCATAACTGGCTATGAGTTGATTGGTGACGTGACTTCCTATCTTTCTAGCCTATCCTTTCAAATCTGCCCTCTCCTTCATATGCTTTCTTTCCAATTGTTTATAACCTTTAGAGGGAATCCAGATGTATGGTGATACATTGTGTACCCTAATAAAGCTTGCCTGAGGATCAGAGGACAGAGCCAGCCACTAGATTAGACATAGATCCAGACAGTGGTGGCACACACCTTTAATCCTATCACTCAGGAGGCAGAGATCCGTGTGGATCTCTGTGAGTTCAAGGCCACACTGGAAACAGAGCCAGGCAGTGGTGGCAGACACCTTTAATCCCAGTACTGGGAAGCACACTTGCCTTTGATCCCGGGAAGTGACAGCAGGGTGGAGAAAGGTATATAAGGTGTGAGGAAACAGGAACTAAGGCAGTTCAGCTGAGACCCTTTCGAGTGAGGACTCAGAGGATTTCAGTCAGAGGATTCGTGGAGTTGGTGAGGTAATAGGTGGTGGCTGTGGCTTGCTCTGCTTCTCTGATCTTTCAGCTTTCATCCTGATATCTGGCTCTGGGTTTTTAATTATAAGACCATTTAAGATTTGAACAACATACATGTTCCCAGTATAAGCCCAATACATTTAATTAGGGATAGAGAATATAACCATCATAGTTCCAACATGTCATATGAAGTACCTAATTAACAACTTCCTTTATTTAAAGCAGGGGAGGTGAAATATTTTTGAAAAGCTACTAAAATAAGCTACAGGAACATCCACCATCCTTTCCACAATAGTAACTTACAAGCAGATGAGCTGGTTCCTCCTTTAAATTAGTAACTTTGAGATCATTCTAAAAGCCAGACATGATAGCACATGCTAGTCATTCCAGCACTTGGAGATTAAGGCAGGAGAAACATGAGTTCTAAGTAATCTGAGATATATAGACCGTTGTAGGCTAGATTTAGTTAAATCACAAGAACCTGCCTCCAAAAACACAAAAAATAAGCAAAAATCATTTTAGAATACCTCTCAATATAAAGGTCATATCTGAAGGTCATTTAAGCATAGTATAGCTTAGCTTTCCATATACTTCAATATTCTCATAAATAAGAACCTGTTTTAAACCTGTGTTTATTCACAGTCAACAACCACAACAAACTATTCCAGGGCCTTATGCAAGCAAAACGTGCCTTTTGTCTTTTGTCAAGGTGGTTGAGGTAAGCAGCCAAGGCTGGTAAACCAGCTAGGGATACAGGAACCAGGCTTTGTCTTTTTTCCTCTGCTACCATAATGTGCCATAGTCTTTGTCCAAATGACCACAGTGTGGCTGCTTGCATCCAGACAAGAAGGGAAACAGCTGTTTTCCCTGTCCAGGCTTTATTTAGGAAGGAAAAGCCCACCCAGAGCCTAGTGCCTGTGTTTCATAAGCCTGACAGGATCACCTGACCACTAGCTGCATGAGATTCTGAAAAGGTAAAGAAATTCCAGCCCTTGTAATAGGGAAAACAAAGGAAAACAGTGTAGCCAGTCAACAGCACCTGCCATGATGGCTTCATGCATATGAAAAACAACAAATATAACTTCCATTGTGTCTGTCCTCTGCAGCCTGCTGATTTCACACTAGCATATTGAAATTGTAAAGGCAAGGTATACTCTCTAAACTACAAAATGCTTTACAGTCATGTTGAAATGATTATTGGAATTTTCAGCTTTCATGAAAGTTTAAGACCTTGCTTATCTTTACTTTGATTCTGTACTTCGTATAATAGAACTCCGTACTCGCAGCTAATGAACACGAAGGGGTGTTTTTGTACATTTTCCCCTTTTTGTATTCTTTCATGGTAATTACTGGGACTTCTTGTTTCATCTTGAGTGCACATTTTTCTTTTTCTACAGAGGTTCTGTTGTTCTTAGATTTATCTCTTTGTGTCTGAGAGTAGGAATTGCACCTGAATTATAGAGAGGAGAAAACTGTCGATTCACCAGCCGGCTATGTATCCCTCTTTTCTTTTATAAGGCACATTTCATCCTAACTCTGATTTATTGGGTTGAGTAGCTAGATCCCGGCAGCTACCCATGCCAATCACGTACACCCTGATTACTAATTATGAGCCTTAGGATACTATACAACTCACTAATGAGCACATTTTAATGCTGGCCAGTGCTAATTAGATGATAATCATGTGCATTATTTTATTTACAGTCTATCCATTTAAATTAATTGGGCATTTAATTGAACACAGTTTGAAAGAAATTGCAATTGAGTTTAGTTGTTTGTTGAAGTTCCTTTCACTTGCCATCTCATATGCAGGTGAGACTATTCACTTGCTCTTGAAATTCAGAAAAATACAAATGAACATAATGCCTATTTTACAATGGTGCCTGTGTGTATGCAAATTGCTCTCTAAGTATGCTAGGAAACAGCAATGAAATTTGCAGTTCTTTTAAAATTCTCTACTGACATCTTTCTGTGGCTTGATTACAGAGAGATTTGCATGCATAAGAAATATATAATCAACCAAACCCTTAGGTAAATGAATGAAATTAGAGCCAAAGCCAGCCCTGTGAAAGTGTTCTGACCATTTCTTCTTTTTTTAAAAAGGTAGAACCATATTTATGTATTTACTGTGCATATGTGTCTGTCTGTCTCTTTCCCTCTGTGTGTGTGTGCATACATACACATGAATGCCTTTGTGCACACATGCATGCCCCATGGTATGTGTATGTGAGTCAAAGGACAACTTGTAGGAGTCTATTATGGTTCTCTTCTTCCACTATGTGGGGCCTGAAGATCAAATTCAGGTCATCAGCTTGGCAGCAAGTGTCTTCACCCACTGATCCACCTCACAAATCCACCAATATTTCTTAACATAGAAATCGGAAATTTAGCTCTTGACTAGTATATAACAAAATACTCCTAATTGAGATCCCATGCCTTTTTCTCCACTAGGACACAATGTCAAATATTCCAGGCTCCCCTTTTCTAAATGAATACTCCCATTGCCAAAGTTGCATGTTTGCATGCAGCTCTAAATTCATGGTCTCCTGTCGCTGAGATGCTTTATTCCATGTGCACTCGGAGCAGATGCAGAGCAATTTAAGTTGACAGAGCTTTGGACGGAAGAATCAGGGGATCAGTTGTAACCGTCAGGCTTCTATTGCTGCGATAAACACCACAACCAGAGCGACTTGTCCGGTCAGTCCGCTCCCTCTCATCAATTACTTAGAATTACTTTATTTAACGGGACAACTTCATTCATTCCTCTTGCACGCCCCACAGATGCCTTCCTAGGAACAGGCAACCTCCCAGAAAACACCCCCTCCTCCTCTCTGCAAACCTAAACAAGCGAGTTGTAGTCTTCCTTATTCGAGAGTTGAGGATGGGCCTGTGTTTACTATAGGGCTTAGTTCCTTGTTAGCAGTCATTTATCCTGAAACGTACTTGTCCCTGCTCTTTTCCATAACTAGAGGCATTTGTCCACCCTCTGCTTCCCCTGGCGTGGCATTTTCAGCAATTCTGACCTTTCAGGTTAACCCACCTTCGCAGTTATTTGCCAGGAAACACCAAATGACAAATAACAGCAACGACAATAATCGTCCATTTCAAAACATCCCAGCTCAGTCTTCCTCTGTCTGCAGATGTTCCTTTGGGGGCATGGGCCGATGAAATTACAAGCAGGATGGACTTGGGAGGACGATGGAAGAGAGGAGGTGTTGCCATGACAGTATGGCCCATGGGAACCAGGCCTTGAGCTGTCCTGTTTTTTAATTTTTCATTTCTTTTATCATGAGCTATTTTCTACATATTTAATGTGTGTCTATGTATAATGTATGCATGTGTGTGTGCATGCGAGTGTCATGCATGTGTGTGTGTGTGTGTGTGTGTGTGTGTGTGTGTAGTCATTTTCATAGACCCGTATTTTTTATTTGAATAGACGGAACTGTCTTGTCTCACCTCAGTGTTTTCCTAAGCTCTGCTTTGTCTCTTACCTGTCACTTCCTTTCTCCTGTGCTCTGTTGTGGTGGCTTTTGCTTCACTTGTTAAAGTGTGTCCTACTGATTCTAGCTGCTTTAATTCCTCCTGAGAGAGACACTGAACAGCCAGAGAAGAGCAGCCTTAGTGGCAGCATGTTGTTGGACTTCAGGGTAGGGTGGTGGGTGGACAGGAAATTTTCCTTGCTGTCTCCCTAGCACCAGACCATAGACCTTTCATTTTTATACTGACCAATTGCTCCAGCCAGAAAGTAATTCTCTGATGCCCTGCCAGACAGGGCAGCTGCACGATTTTCTGTTCATCTGAAATCTTATACCCAGTCCCTCATCTCTTGCAGATGACTCACCCCTTCAGCTGTACTTTATGTCCCTACACTCAAGCCTGCCTGTGGGCAAGGGAAGCAGGAGCTAGTGTTCATCTGGAACTGGACAAGGACTGCCAGCCTGCTTCACAAAATTTACGCAAGTTTTCAGCCTGTGTAAGAAGTCTAACTTTGGGCTCATCTGTCTCTCTGCCTCCTCCTTCCAGAAGGACCCTGAGACTTTTGAATCCTAGCCTTTCCCAGGGGCCTGTGGTAGGAAAGTGCCTACAGGCTTTGCCTAGCTAACAGATTACATGTCAATTTTCTCTTGTCTTTGAAATCCATTCTTACAAATTTAGCTCACACATTTTTTTCCTGGCATGATTTTGAAATTTTCTTTATTCCTGAGGCTACACACCTTCTTTGATACCATAAGAAGTGGTATTTAGTGGTATTCTGAAGAAAATGACAAACATGGATGTTTTTCTACAATGTTTAACTAGATTATTATGTAACAACTTCAAAAGCTGATGCATTTCCCCTCCATGACTAGGATTTCATAGGAATAAGGGACATCAGGCGACACAGGGCAGGGAATGAATGGTAGAAGTCCTGGAAGACAGTCCTGCTCCACACTAGCAGATCCAGCTGTAGTGTATGATGACACCAACACCCTGAGCCTTCAGTCTAAGTCAGTACACCTGACTGGTAACCTCTACTATTCCTTAGCTCACTTTTGCCCTCCCCTAGCCTGAGAGATTCCAGAACGTGAAAGTGCTCCTTTCTCTACCCACGGGATTGGAGGTAAATGGATTTGCTTCCATATAGAAAACAAATAAAACTTAATCAAGAAATACCAATAGCTTTATGCCCTTTGTTCTTGACCTTGATCTGTTTCCAACAACTGTTGAGTGCGGATTACTCAGCAGGCTCAGTGCACAAGGAGCTTTCACAAGTCAAAAGCTAGTTCTTTGTCCCAGAGGAGGACTCCATGTCCTCTCACTAAGTCCTGGATGATGGCAAGGATCAGCTCCCACCCAGAGCAGCACTGTAGGTAAGCAGCTGCCTGACCTTGGATTTTCACTTACTCTGACCCTAGGTTCTCTCTTTTCTACATAGACATTTCAAACTGAATTATTACTGAAGGTCACTCGAAATTAGCTTAGATCCCAGTGGATGATGATATCTGTAAAACATTAATGATTCTCTGTATATGTACCACAACCTGCAGCCCTCCTGGACTTGATACATTATTATCTGTGTGTGAGGGTCTTAAGTCGGGTCAACTGAGGGGGGCTCCGGTGCTGACCAGCTTGTAGTATGCTCCCTTCTGGGCCATCAGTTCTTCATGGGTCCCTTTTTCAACCACCACCCCTTGTGACATGACAGCGATGATGTCTGAGTTCTGGATGGTAGACAAGCGATGGGCAATGACAATACAGGTCCGACCCTCTCTGGCTTTGTCCAGAGCAATCTGCACAGTCTACAAAAAGAAGATGGAGAGTCAATGCAAAGACACAGGGTTGTTCCCATCCACTGCTGTGAGGGTCCATCTCAAACACCACCTGAGCAACAGCTCTGTGCTTAGGGCTGACCCCAAAGACTGAGTACTAAAGGGCAGTAAGCAAATGGCTGTACAGACAATGCATCCATGCTTTATTTAAATTGCAGCCCACGCACTGAGAAAGTTCAGTGAAGCAAGAATGAGCTAAATACTATGTCATTGTGTAATTTTACAATACTGAATTGTCCAATTTACTAAGATAAAACCAAAGAGCAAAGCATGGGCCAGTTAATGGTTTCTGACACTCCCTTCACAGAGGACACTTTAGTGTGCTCCAAAGTAGAATCTCAATTTTAAAGACGTAGATCATAAACTCTGAATTCATCGTTGTTCTTCTCTCGACAACATGTCCTTCTATGGAAACTCCACATGGCTACCACCTCCTTTTAGGTGTTGTGTATGGCCTACTTACTCTGTCACATAATTTAAAAACTATAAAATATGTTATGTTTCACAGATTATGTAAATTGTTTCAATTTATGTAAGAAAACTGTTTGCCTTTGAAAAAATGTCATTTAACCTAAAGTACCTTATAGAACAATTATTTTAAAGTACAGTTCTTTTTAATGGCAGTAGCCCTGTTAGACTGTTATTTATAAATTACTGTCTTTTGCTTCCAAAGAAAAACACTGTCAGTTTCTACTACAAATGAATAAGACAACTGAAAACAGTGTCATTTGATGTGTACAATCTTCCAGCAAAGACTCATCTCTAGTGACCTAAGAGGCTAGAAAACTAACACGTACCTTTTCACTTTCTGTATCTAGGGCAGATGTGGCTTCATCTAGTAGCAAGATTTTCGGATCTCGGACAATGGCCCGAGCAATAGCAATGCGCTGTTTCTCCCCTCGAGAGAGTTGAGAGCCCTGGCTCCCAACATTAGTTTCATATTTCTAGGGAAAAAAAAAACATAGCAAGTTTGAAAACTAGAGGACACAGCCATTTCTCCTGTGCTGTTTGGAGCCCGCATCAATGACTCTTCCATGAATTTAAATTTTTTTCTTATTTTTTTTTTGAACTTAGAAACAGTGAATGAATGCAATAAAATATATCAAATCTAGCTAGAAATATTAAATATATGAAGTTTGGGCTGGAAGATGAGAGGAGTGATTCCTGTCTGTGCGTTCTTTAAGGGTTATACTTTTGATCTCTTGCTATGTCCAGCTAAGACTCCACATAGGAGATCTTCTTTGGTTTGAGATTCTCTGATTTCTAGACTTTCATCCAAAGATCTTTTGCAAGATAGGCTAATCCCAGCTATAGCCCTTAAAGGCTTTCTGGTTGACTCCTTCCCTCGGGAGAACATTCTGGGACACAAGCCTTGGTTGGAAGTTAGACTCTGTTGCTTACTAGCCTAGTGAACATCAACAACTTGTTTAAATGTCTTTGAGTCACAAACTCACCTGCAAAATGCAGGGTTAGTGCCTAGCATACATGTGTGCTGTGAACTTTTTATGAAATTAGGGAAGAAAATGTCTAGCTAGATGCCCAGCATGGCAAAGTTAAAAATAGTTAACATTCATACAGTATTTAGTTTGCATCAAGGATTGTGTAGTGGTTGTTGCTGCTGCTGCTCTTCTTCCTCTTCCTCCTCCTCCTTCTTCTTTGACAAGGTGACAAGGTCTCACTGTGTAGCCCTGGCTGTCCTGGAACTCTCTACATAGAACAGGCTGGCCTCAAACTCACATACTTCTGCCTCTGCCTCCTAAGTGCTGGGATTAAAGGTGTGCACCACCACAGCTGGATAATTATTCTGAGTACCATTTCATAGTCACAGAAATGGTAGTATTTTGAATATACACATTATAAAACTGAGGCGTAGAGAAGCAAGACAATTGCACAAATACAAAGAAGCAATGAACAGCAAATGTGAAGTTAAGTCTTGACTCACCTAGTTTCTGGTCCTCTGTCTTGTCCATTACTCTAACCTGCCTGCCTGTTTCCCTTCCTTGCCTCCGGAAAAAGTTCAACTAAGCCAGGAGAGACCCAAGAAAAATCACTATGATTTCTTGCATTTCATAGGCACAGTACATTTTGTTATCACGCTCTAAAATGTCTCCAAGCACTTTTAGGAGGAAAATACTGCTTTAATAAATTTTTTAAAAAATCTTTGCTTTTAGGCACACTAGCAAACATGGGTATTTGAAATGTTCCTTTGCTTTTAAATTCAGGAATGTCAATACGCTGCCCAGCCAAGAAGAAGGACAGGAGCCTAGGACTGGAGAAAACCGAGGAAAGGACAAGCGCAGAAAGAAAGAAAGAAAGAAAAAGAAAGAAAGAAAGAAAAAGAAAGAAAGAAAGAAAGAAAGAAAGAAAGAAAGAAAGAAAGAAAGAAAGAAAGAAAGAAAGAAGCACACCACAAGGAGACAGTTTACAGATAAACAGTCCAAAAAGAAAAGGAGTTTCCAAGTGGTACTGTGAAAACCGGAGTGCGGAAGGCTGCAGCCTAGAACTTAGATGTTACATTTCTTGTCTTTGGTTCTTGTAATTAAACAGTCACCAAGAGAGGTGCCTGGTGAAGGGAAAACCACGTGGTAGAGACTGCCAAATTCAGACTCGGCTCTGGGAAAGTAAAAGGCACGAAGACAGATGCAACTTACCCCACCATCCCCATGCTTCCAGTACAGGATGGCCATCAATTGCTGCTGCGGCTTTCTTTGTGTGGCTGATTTTGGAACCCAGGGTTTCATGCATGAGCTCTACCAGTAAGCTATGTCCCTGACCTTTGACCTCTATGCCCTCATTTTAATATTTTGGGGTTTCTTTGCATTTGGCAGATGGAATAGGCAATATCAGATTGGATAGGTAGGCATCCCAAATTTTCACACTCAGGTAGTAAATGAGAAAGCTTGCTTTCAAACCCATGCTGAACCTCTGGATTTCTTTCTGCCAGGCTACATCATGTTCTATGGGCATTGTTTTATATGCAGCAAACTCTACAACATCCATTTTGTTTGACATTATAACACTTCCTAGCATGTGGTGATGGAGGGCATTTGTTTTACTTGAAAGACCAAGACAATACAAGACACTGGGAAATACATTGTGTTGCCTTTGACCCTCTACCTGAGCCCCAATCCTGCTACTTTCTGGGTATCCTACCTCTCCGCAGCACTGTGTTCCTGTATGGAACAGCAGACTTGGGGCTTACCTCTGGGAGGGACATGACGAAGTCGTGCAGCTGAGCCTGCTTTGCGGCAGCTATGACTCTTTCCATGGAGATTTCTTTGGTGTTGTCTCCATACTTGATGTTGTCCATTATGCTACAGTCGAACAACACTGGCTCCTGGGAAACGATTCCAATGTTTGAACGGAGGAACTGAACGTTGACTTTTTTGCTGTCATGACCATCTATCATCTGCCAAAAGAGAGGACAGCAAAGGACAAGAAGTTTCAGCATGCCAGCCGTGAGGGAAGTCCCCATGGTGGAGTCGGGTGCTGGACAGCGCAGTTGTCCTGCTTTAGAGTGAACACCCCCGGAGATCTGGGGGAATACATCTCACGGCCTGTGGCCTCGGGAACTTGTTTCTGACAGGCATGCTTTCAAAGTTGACACTGATTACTCTGCTCTTGGGATGTTGTTCTTTCCAAACTCTGTCTCCACAGGTATTACATAAATGAGAAAGGATCTCAGAATAGCATTTAGTTAAGAAAAAAATTCTCCTTATAGTTTGGCATAGCCTAGTCTGTTCAGATATGTACACTTACTGTATTCTGAGGCTTTGGGAGTCTCCTGAAAGAGAGGGAGAGGGTAGGGGGTGGGGCCAGAGAGAGACAGATAGATGCTATTAGATGACATGAAGATCAAGCCTGTGTCCTTGGCTCTATTGACAATATTCTCTGGACAGCTGAGATAATAAGTCCAGGGGAAAATATAATTGTTCACCTAGTCACACTCACATTTGGAGTCATCTTCCAGGAGGCACCATATAAACAGTCTCTGTGTACTATGTGAGAACGCAATGTCTGTTTCCTGGGAATTCACAGTCCAGAAGTCAGGGAAGTTCAGCCACAAAAATATGTGCTATTTAAGTTGGTTCAGTTAAGATTCCAAATATTCTACCCCAGAGGTACAGTAAATCTAACATATTAATTGTAAAGTATTTGACTGTATGATTTCAGGGGGAACAAAGGTTATTTCAAATAATGTGAGCAGGATATATTTTAGGTAACTTCTAAGCAATGGAAAATTAAACCCTATTTAAAAAGAAAAAGATGAGTACATCAGCCCTCAATAAGAGGTAGTCCTTGCTCAGCCTGAGGTATTTCCCATAGGATCTATTTCTGCAAGAACAATTTAATACTGAGTCAGAAATTGAGCTTTTTGCTAATTCCTGTATTTGTGCTCTATTATGACCACCTAGGAAACAGAAGATATGTTCCATGTTCCTGAAGAATCTCCCACAGACAGTGTTGGACATATCACAGATGCCTAATTAAATATTGAACATACTGTACCTGTGTTTGGTAGCTTGTCTAAAAGCAAAGAGGATTCTTTTAAATTGATTAAAGCAGTATTTTCCTACTTATAGTGTTCATAGATATATTTTACAATGAGCTTATAAAATGTACTGTGCCTCTTAAATGCAAGAAATCATAAAATGATTGCTTCCTTCCAGTGACTAGAGAATTCAAAAGAGAAATATGCTTAGTATCCATGCTAATGTTGGAGAGGTCACGCATGGTGGAGTCAGGCTGCAGCAGTTCACATCTACCTGAACCTAGACATGACAAAGCTGACATTTTGGAAAAGGGAGCTCTTTCCTTTGTAGAGATGAGATCTCTAGGGCAATGCATTTCTTAGGTTCATCAGTCACCAAATACTTGCCAATACATTAAAATCTTTACATCTAAAATCAATAACGGCTGGGGTCATGAACCACAAGTAATCAATTCCTACTCCTTATCTTCATACCCTCCTGGCTTCTGCTAATGTCTGCTTGCTCCTTTTCTTTGCTCTATGCAAGAGAACCTCACTTTTCTCTCGGTGTTTCTCTTCAGAACGTTACCTGTCCCCATTGCAGTGAAGATCACACTATTCAGGGAGATCAGAAGGAGCATTTTTAAAAGTACTGGGGTGCCAGGCGGTGGTGGTGCACGCCTTTAATCCCAGCACTCAGGAGGCAGAGGCAGGCGGATCTCTGTGAGTTCGAGGCCAGCCTGGACTACCAAGTGAGTTCCAGGAAAGGCGCAAAGCTACACAGAGAAACCCTGTCTCGAAAAAACCAAAGAATAAAAAAATAAAAATAAATAAAAGTACTGGGGTATGTTGGGGAAAAAGAAAGAAATCAGCAGAGAGTCTAAGTTAGTTAAATCATGAAGACAGAAATCAGAGCAACTAGAGACACAGAAGTAATAATCACTAGGAGAACTCAAAGGATGAAGTGGTGAAGGAAGTTGAGCAAAGAAACACAGGGGAGTGCTACTTTTTATTAAAAAATCTTTATTATCTGATTCTATCGTCTGGTGAGTATATTACCTGAGAAGAAAGGGCGGGGGGAGAGAGGAAGAAGTACTTAGAAGAATAAGCAATAAAGCAGTTGACCAGTGTGTCAACCATCCTTGCCAAGGCTTTGTCAATGTGAGTTTATCTGTTATTAGGCTTGAGCTTCTTGGACCAGAATTGTCTCAGGTTTTTCACGCTTGCTTCCTTGTCTTGCTTACTTATCATTGTATCCCTTGTCCCCCCACCCCTGTGCTTTTTCCATCCCCAGCCATTAGTTTCCTGATTAGTCTACACTTTCTGCTCCATTTACAGGTAAGTAAATGTCTTTCAAATACACTCATCTCTAGCTTTGCAGTGTGTCCAGTTTTCTTTCCTAACTGGTCAGCAGGCCATCTGGAACTGGGAAGAGTCTGATGTTAGAAGCTGTGGGGCAGAGTCAGGTCAACCAGCAAATGATGGAAACAAAAACATCCATGGGGGGGGAGTGTCCAAGACAAACAGTTTAACCTGGCAAGGCGCAGCCTCAGAGACCGCTTGGGGACAGATCTTATACAGAAAGCGAAATCCCCCCAAAGTGTTTGCACCACTTACCACCTTTCCCTGATCAGGGTCATAGAACCGTTCCAACAGCTGAATACTGGTGCTTTTGCCACACCCACTGCTGCCAACAAAAGCCAGGGTCTGCCCTGGATCCACAGACACGGAGAGACCATTCAGAACTTGGATATCAGGTCGAGAAGGGTACGTAAATTTGCAGTCAATAAAGTCAATCTTCCCTTGGAAGTTGCCCTGTGAATGAGAGGAATGGAATTACATGTACTCCTGCTGGAGCCTGGAATATGTAAGATGTACCTCAATGTACACAACGGTGTGAAACTATGCTTTATGAAACAGCAACTCAGTGGGTGACATTCTAGTCAGGATAGTGGTACACAATGGTAACCCCAGAACTCAGAAATTTGAGGGAGGAAGATAGTGAGTTCTCTGGAGGCTAGCCTGAGCTACATAGGCTACATTCTGCTTCAAAACAAGCAACCAAGTTAACACCACTACAAAATGACATTTTCTTCCCAATGCTGGCAGCTGCAGCATAAAGAGAGATGAGGAAATTAAAGGCAATTGACCTCTTAACCTCATTCTGAACAGTTCCTTATCACCTATTCCTTTATAGTAAAAAGAGGAAGAGAATAGCGAAGTTAATGCATCAAGGAAGCCAGCAATTCTTTGAACTGTTATAACCCTGTTCTTTAAAATAATGAATTAAAAACAAAGTTCTTTGGAGTCTGTGCCATGAAGATGAATATTTTAGTGTGTTTCAAACTGTCTTGTGGAAAACTAAGTCGGTTCCATTTCCTGGATATTGTGACTAGTGCCACATTAACACAGATGTGAAAGTGTCTCTGTAGTATGTTGACTTCAAGTATATATCCTAGAATGGTATAGCTGAGTCATACGGTAGGTCTATCGTTGAGGAATTTTCCTTTACATTGTGTGAAGATGTGTCATTGTGATTGGTTTAATGAAGAGCTGAATGGCTAGTAACTAGGCTGGAAGAGGTTAGGCGGGACTTCTGGGGACAGAGGGGTCTCAGGGAAGAAGAAAGGTGGAGTCTCCAGCCTGATGCAAAGGAAGCAAGACATGCAGGAGGAGAGGTAAGAGCCACACGGCAGCAGTTAGATGAATAGAAATGAGTTAATTCAAGTTGTAAGAGCTGGTTACAAACAAGCCTAAGCTATAGGCTGAGATTTCATAATTAATAATAAGTCTCTGTGTCATGATTTGGGGGTTGGCAGTCCAAAAAAGCCTGGTACAGTCTATTCAGTTTTCTATGTTGATTTCCATAGTGACTGCACAAGTTCACATTCTTATCAGCAGTGGATGAGGGCTCCTCTTTCCCTACATCCTCGACAACATTTGTTATCATTTGTTTTCTTGATGATGGTCATTCTGACTGGGGTTATGCGGTCTTTCAAAGCAGCTTTAATTTGCATTTCTCTAATGGCTAGGGATGTCAAACATTTTTTCAAGTGTGTTTTGCCATTTGTATTTCTTTTTTTGGGGACTGTTAATTCAGCTCCTTAGCCCATTTATTGTTTGGATAATTTGGTTTAAGGAATTTAATTTTTACAGTTCTTTTTAGATCCTAAATATTAATCCTTTATTTGATGTGTACTTGGGAAATTTTTTCTGCCCACTCTGACTCTGTAGTTCCTTCACTCTGGGATTCTTTCCTTTCATGCAGAAGCTTTTCAATTTCATGTAATTCTATTTTTCAGTTCTTGGATTACTTTGCCAGCCTAGAGATCCATCAACAAATAACTTCATTCAGAGTATATACATAATGGAATTTTACATAGCCCTGAAAAATGAAATCATGACATTCTCAGGAAAGTAGAGGGAACTATAAATCATTTCATTGAACAAAATAAGTCAGATTCAGAGAGAGTAACACTGTGGTTTTTTGTCATATGCAAAAACCCAAATTTATGGGGGCCAGAGAGATGGCTCAGAGTATAAGAGTATGACTACTCTTCCAGAAGACCTGAATTTGATTCTAGCACTCATGTTGGGTAAGTCACTGCTTGTAAATCCAGCTTCAGGAGATCCACTACCCTCTTCTGGACTCTGTAGGTACTGCACTCATATGCACAAACCCACATACAGATATATATATATATATATATATATATATATATATATATATATATATATATAATTAAATATATATATAATTAAAAACAAATAAAATCATATATGTATGCATATGTGGGTGTGTACTTATACATATATGTATGCATATGTGTGTGTGTAGCTCATGAAATTACAAAGGAGAAGGGAGGAAGAGCTCTGAAGGCAGGGTGTGGGGAGAGAGCAATATCACACACGTAATCAGAAAGTAGAAGGAGGAACAGTTTAGGTAGAGGAAGGGAACTAACTTGAAGGGGGGTTCTGGAAGTAGGAAGTCAGAGAGGGGAAGAAGTGATCATAAAGTATAATGATGCACATGTATGTAAATACCGTGACAAACCCTATTATTGTATATGATAACATAAAACATTAATTTAAAACACTATCTGAATTATGAACTCTAGAAATGGGTAAACATTTGCAGAGACTAATTC